AAAAGCTTAGGAAGAAGAGACCTGGGAAAGACTCTTCTGTTGATTTGGAAGATCAATTCTCTTGGCACCTTACTTCCTTGTTTATAGTCACCATCTCATAGTTGCATTTTTCAGAATTAGATAAAGTGTTATTCAACAGAAGCCCTGGATATAGTGCTCTGTGAAGGCCACTTTCCTTCTTGAATGAAGGGAAAGCATTTGCAGGCAGGTAGTAGGGAGGCCAGGGAGATATGCATGATTTGTACAATGATACTTCCTTTATAATATTGGCCCGGGCTAAACCAGTTGACTAAAATAGCTGGCATCTGAAAACCCCTCTAATTTCTAGATTCTGTAGTTATTATAAAAACCTCATTGTAAGAACTCAGTCATTTTGATTTAACAAATGTGGTGTGTACTGTATAGGGATGATGTATTTTGGGCTAATGAGAATTGAGACTTTCTGAGAAAACGTACCCTGTATGATCATGTGAGCTGGTGACAGCAGTTGTGGGAATGTGTATGTGGGTGTTGAACTAAAAACTAAGTAGGTTTAACAGAGAGGACTTCATTCACTCATACATCTATTCATTATTAACACATAGAGGTTTTTTTGCCTTATCCTGTTTAAAAGGAAAGCCTCTGAAATACAAAAGTGTTGAAAAATATAATAATCACACCTGTGAATAATTATTGGAAGGCCACTATCTTGCTAGACATGGAGAATTTAGGTTGGCATAGTCAATGTTCCAGGTGATAGAAAAGTGATTAAGGGAGTTATCATTTGGCCCTAACTTTTGGTTAGAAGGAAAGGCAAGGGATACGCTGTTTCCAAATGAGTCATTAGCTGACTTCTTTTCAAAAAAGGTTCACTTTGCTTCTTAAATATCACTTTTATATCTAGATTATAAACTGCTCCTTTTAAACCCTGACCCTCCCCCCCCCAAAAAAAGAAAAAGCTCCACAAACAAAAACAGAAAAAGAAAGAAAGGGGGGAAAATGTGAGTAATGAGCATAATGTTAGTCCCATCCTCACCTACTGTTTTCAGAACAAGATTTTCTTTAATTAGCCGAAAAATATATCCAGGAAGCTTTTCTTCATGTAAAGATGCAGGTAGTTCCTCCTCAAACCCTGATTTGTACAGTAAATTTGGTACGGGATGAAGTATGTTCTCCTTTGGAAGACAAGGGGGACATTTCTAGATTACTTTAAGTTTGGCTCCCTGATGGTTCTCTGCCATCTGTCAACTCTTCTGTGGTTATTAAACAGTGATGGTCGAATAGGTAAGAAATGGTTAATAATTGTGCAATAGAGAAATGCCACAAACTAAGACTTTGTCTTTTGATTCTTTCAGAAAAACATATAAAAACAATGTTCATAATCAGTTGTTTCTCTAGGGCTTTAAATGGATTTCAAGAGCTTTCTTAAAAGGGCTGTGTGTGTTTTAAATTTCTGCTTGCACTAAGGCAAAGCTTTGTTATATGGTGGTCACAGGCCTTGAAATGCCTGTCTCCCTCACTCTATTTTTGAGTTAATGTTTTTCTTTATAAAGTAATAGCTTTCAAATCCCTTTATTTTTATTTCAGAAACCATTAATGCCTGTCAGCTGCCTGTGGGGGTATCATATAAATTCCTAAGTTTGCCATTCAAGGTCCTCCACTCTATGACCCCAATTTACTTTCCCTATTTGTCTGTCACTATTTTCCTGCATAAACCCTTCCATTCAACCAGGCAGAAATGTACACAGCACCCCACAGGCCTTTAAGTTTTGCCTGTATTTCAGAAAGTCTCTCCCTTCCATCATGTGTGTCAGGTGCTAACCCTTCTATGAGACTGGACCTGGGTCCCTTGGCTAAGCTTCCTAGCCCAAGTACACAGTCAATCCATGCTATGCCCTTGCATATGTCATCTGGGTCATTCAGGAACCATTTGGTGTCCACTGCCCCTTCATGTTTCATCTAGATCTACTTCATGTAACTCTGCCTGGGAAGTAAACTCTTTGACCATGGTGGTTTTATATTTGTTTCCTCACATTGAAAGATGTGCATGGTTGTTTGCATGTCTGTCAATCACCTACTTTTATCTTCTGCTGTCTACTTCCACTGTAATGTAGTTCCAAAAGATTCCAAAAGAAAGGAGGAAAAAAAAAAAAACAAACCTAGAGACCATACATGTCAGAAAGCTTGGCTCTGGAGTCCATGTTCTCACCCACTCACCTACATGGCCTTGTGCAGGTTTTTGGCGATCCCCACTGTTATTGGTAATTTTTTTTCTTTCCCTCTCAATAGGATTTTGACAGCATTGGCCACTCATTCCTGGAATGTTCCAGCTCTGTTAGTTTGTATAATACTTCTCTCTGTTCTCTTCCCTTGTCCCACCCAATCCCACCCATTTCTTCTCTAGTCATCCCCTGGGAGATATGTGTGTGTGTGTGTGTGTGTGTGTGTGTGTGTGTGTGATCATCACTTTTGCCCCTAGTTTTGTCATCATTATCATTATCATTTCTTTTCTTTTTTTTTTTTTTTTTTTTTGGTGATTCTGGAGATTGAACTCGGGCCCCCAAACATGCTGGGCAAGTGCTCCATCGCTGAGCTGTACCCTCAGCCCCCGTTGTTACTTTTCTGTGCTTTCTCTACATTCTTCTTCCTAGCCCAGTACTTTTTGACCTCAGTGGGATGACACACTGAGTGTCACACTCCATCATGACATATGTCAAAACTAGTCACTTATCACAGTGTCACAGTCATGACACATGTCAAAACTAGTCACTTATTGATAAGCATTAAGTTATAATCCCTCGAAAATGATTTACTTTTTTAATTAGTTAGACTCACCCCAAAGTTATTATCACAGGGATGTCAGCTCATCTGCATTTCAACAGCGTCTGCTGGCTCGGGTGCAACAAGGTAGAATTTGAATTAGCTGTAAGTGAGTAGCTCATAATTCATAGCCTATTTTATATTTTCTGAAAATATCCCTGACCTGTGGTTATTGATGTATCATTAATACTTACAGCAATTTTGAAATATTATAGTCAGTAAGCTGTAGATTTATAGCTGCATTTGTTACCTTGATTTTTGCAATAGGTACATATTTAATAAGGAAAAGAGGTAAAGAAAACATGTGTATGTGTCTTGTCCTTATAGCATAGAAATGGAAGTAAGGCTATAATTAAAGTTTCCAAATTAAAAACAAAGTGATTATTCAAATGGTATGTGCAATAATACTATTTACATTACTATGAATAATTGTTAATACTATGTGTCATACTTCTTTTTTTTTGGTACTGGGGATTGAACCCAGTAAAGCTTTACTAGTGAGCTAATCCCCAGCCCTTTTTATTCTTTTCTTTTGAGACAGGGTCTCACTAAGTTGCTGAGGCTGGCCTCAAACTTGTGATCCTCCTGCCTCGGCCACCCAAGTCTCTGGGATTATAGGCATGTATCACCAAGCCTGGCTATGTGTTATACATTTTGATGATAAATTTATGTTTTCCTAGTCTTTATTAGTATATGATGTTTTTCTTTTATTAGCTGTAAGGGTCTGAATTTTACCTTTTAAATATAGTTCAATGTTTTTTATATTAGCTGTATGCACATTTTGTCACTCAAAAAATGGCATGTTTTGAGATCAGGGAGCAGATCTCACTAATAATTTCTTAATAAAATACTTTTTTGAACATGACCTGTAAAAAACTTTGGGAGCTTTACTTTACTTATCCAACTACTTGTGTGTTTGCGTGTATGCGTGCACATGCACACGTGTGTGTTTGGTTTTCATTACAATTCAGCATGCTTCTGGGAGTATATCTCCTATGAATGTCATTCATCATCTGTCACAGCAAAAGAAAAGTTAGAAACCTCTGCTTGAGGCTATTTTATACACATCTGAAGGTTTAACTCTCTCTCATGTGTTAATGGCTCTTGAGTCTATATCATCATCCATGATCCTTTCTCTGGAGCTGCGGACTCATTTACTAAGCTACCTACTAGGCATCAGTATGTGGACATCTTACAGATTTCCCAAACACAGAATTTCTGAAATTGAACCCATTTTTTAATCTCATTCCTCCTCCCTGTTGGCTTTACTTCTAGTATTGTGCTTTTCTGTTGATAGCATCATCATTCATCCACTCTGTTAAATTCATTAAAAATAATGTACAGTGTTTCAGAGGCCAGTAGCCCAGTCCTGTTTATCTACTAAATATCCCTGAAGTTGTCTTCTCTTTTCTCATTTTCTTCAACCTATCATAGCCGCTCATCATTTCCTGTTGGTATCACTTCATAGCCCAGTGGCTCTCAAATTTCAGTATATATCACAATTATTTAAACATAACAAGTTAGATTCCCATCTCCAGAAATCTAATTCAGTAAGTCTAGGGATAGTTCCAAGAAATTGAATGTCTAACCAGGTGTTTTTCTGAGAAAGTCTTTTATTTCTCTTTTCCAGAGAAGAAAATATTCTGTATGATATTATAATGATAGACATGTGTCATTAGGTATTTGTCCAAATTTGTAGAATATGTAATATCAAACGTGACCTAGTGTAAAACCATGGACTTTGGGTGATAATCATGTGTCAATATTGATTCATTAGTTATAGCAAATATACCACTGTCGTGCAGAATTTTGACAATAGGGAAGGCTGTTCCTATGTTAGGGCAGGGTAGTATGTATGGTAAATAGCTGTACCTTCTGTTCAATTTTGCTGTGACCCTAAACTGCCCTAAAAATAAGTCTCTATTTTTAGACCATATTGTACAGGACTTAGTATATGTAATGTGCTTAATTAATTATCCAACTCAAAAATGTTTATATTTTCTACTATGTAATGTATCATATCTTCTGCTGTCTAGCTATCATTTTCACTACAGTAGAATGTCTATCAAACACATTCTACTGAGAGAATTGTGACCTAGGCAAGAATTATGAAACAGGAATTCCACCAAAAGAAGCCAGTGCTGAGCAAGAGGAAGAACCCATATTTCCACATAATTTGAGTGAACCTTGATGTAATGATCATGGCACTAAAGATGCTAATGGGAGCCAGTTCCTCTGTGAAGGCAATTTTACAAACTGCAATTTTTGGCCATTCTTGGGAAATATTACTTGGACCTCAGGCCCCTCTTAGGAACTTCTGTTTGTATCACATAGATCCTCCAGCAGCTTTGTATGGTGGACGACACACGGTGACCATGATTCCTGGAGATGGCGCTGGGCCTGAACTTATGATGCACGTCAAGTCTGTGTTTAAATATGCGAGTGTGCCTGTGGACTTTGAGGAAGTGCTGGTGAACTCCACATCTAGTGAAGAGGAAGTTCACAACGCTATCATGGCTATCCGTCGAAACCGTGTGGCTTTGAAGGGCAACATCGAAACCGATCACAACCTGCCACCTTCTTACAAATCCCGCAACAGTATGCTTCGCACCACCCTAGATCTCTATGCCAATGTCATTCATTTCAAGAATCTGCCAAACGTGCAGACCCGGCACAAGAACATAGACATCTTAGTTGTTCGGGAAAATACAGAGGGCGAGTATAGCAACCTGGAGCATGAGAGTACGAAAGGAGTGATAGAGAGTCTGAAGATCATTACCAAGGCCAGGTCTATGCGCATTGCTGAATATGCCTTCCAGCTGGCCCAGAATATGGGGCGTAAAAAAGTGACAGCTGTGCACAAGGCCAACATCATGAAACTGGGAGATGGACTCTTCCTCCAGTGCTGTTGTGAGGTGTCATCCCGCTATCCTCAGCTCGTCTTAGAAGGTGTGATTGTGGACAATGCTACAATGCAGCTGGTATCTCAACCCCAACAGTTTGATGTCATGGTGATGCCCAATCTTTATGGCAACGTTATTAACAATATCTGCACAGGGTTGGTTGGGGGACCTGGCCTGGTACCTGGAGCCAACTATGGTCGCTTATATGCAATATTTGAGACAGCTTCAAGGCATACGGCCAAGAATTTAGCTCACAAGAATATCGCCAACCCTACGGCCATGCTGCTGGCAAGTTGCATTATGCTGGATTACCTCAAACTCCATTCCCATGCCACCCGCATTCATACTGCAGTCTTAGAATCCATAAGCAATAAAAATATCCAGACCCCAGACATTGGAGGCCAGGGTACCACGTTGGACATCATTCACAACATCATGGAAAACGTTCAAGGTTTCAAGTAGATGATCAGTGCCTTGGAGTCTGTTATTACCCAAAGTCCTTCCTATCTTCCTCTTTACCCATTCACCCTCCACACCTAATCCTTGCCAGCAAGGCTAATGTACAGAATAAACCATCTGTTCCAATTCAGGAGAAGTGTATCAAGACTGATTTTTCCCCATTAAATTAAAATTCCATAAACATTGCTTATTTAAATTAGACAAACCTATTGCATTGTAAACGATTTGTGGACATTCTTTCTATTTTAATCAGTGATTCTCACCTCTCTATGATATGATACAATGAATAAATCAGATCTGTTTGTGTAGTCCGAAGGGCTTTCCCAGGACCTAATGCACTGATTTTCTTTTATCTGTGTCATTAAAATTCAGTAAACCAGCCTACAGAGAATCTGTTTTTTTTTTCTCTAGAGGTTATTAATGAGCTAATTAGTGCAATAAACTTTGCCTACAAAATATACATTGTAACTTTAATAATAAATAAAGTAACATAAAGCTGAGCTAGTGCAGAATGCTTTCACTCCTTCCTTAATATCCTCCTTTTCCATGGTGTTGTTTAGGACGTTTATGTGATAAATTTTCTCTGTGTTCTTTTGCACACATGAAAATTGATGGAAACTGCAGCTCCCCTGGAAAAGGAATTTTTAAATTTATTTCAGCTCAGCTCAAGAGTGTAGAAGTTAAATCTCTACAATCAGAGTCCACAATTCTTGATATACAAATGAAACCATGGATTGCAAACTCTGTGCTCAGTGCTTCATAGTTTCTTTTGGTCCACTTTTAAACTTGCTATCAAAGAAAGCCCTGAACTAATCTAAATATTTGCATCATTTAATTATATTTTAGTTACAGTATTTTAAAGGTCATAGTTGGGAGACATGCAAACAAAATAATTCTATTAGTACATAGAAATTGTTATTACTCAAGGAAAATGTAAAAACACAATGATTATGAAAACTGATAGTAGTTTTATCAGCAGGATAGAAATAAGATTGAGAAAAGCAGTGGATTCTGCATCCTGTATAATCTGTGGATCTTACCATACTTCACACAGCACAAGTTAAAGACACTTTTTTTTTCAGCCTCTGTGGTCTCCAGGAGGCTCCAGTTTAGTTGGGTGCCCTTGATCTCACCAAACCTAATTATATACAAAGTCAGGCCAGAGTTTGGAAAATGGAAAGTTAGTTTGAGGAGATTTAGTTTGAGGAGAAATCAATTACCTTCAACCCCATCTAGAAGCCTTTCTTGAAGAATAAGGCAAGCAGGGAAGAGTCAATTGGAAAATAACCATGGTAATTGCATGTATTGCACAATTAAACATATCCCTTGCCAGGATGGATGCTACTGCCCTCCTGTTGCACCCACCTCTGGGCAGCTCTAGACCTTTGTGAGTAGTTCTTTAACAAGTGGATTTTAGTATGAACCCCACCCCACCCTAATCCCTAAACCTTAACTCACCCCACCCAATTTGTACCCCCTTTTCTCATTACTAGGAGAAATGATTCATGGCACAACCAGCCCAACTGCAGGCAGTGACCCAGCTGTCAGCTTCCACTTAGCAATAGGAGTTCATGGGCCATTTGAGCCCAAGTTTTCCTCTATGAAGAATGGCCATCTCCAGAATCCTCTCAAGACAGCTGTGATGACACCTGGTACACGACAATGGCACTTTCTATCGCCATTGTTAGATTTTCCCTCTTAGCTATGAATATCCTAAGGGTAATATCATGTATGTTTTTACTTGTCCCCTGTCATCTCTAATATAATTACTGTACATGCAATGTAAAAAAAAAATGTATGTTTGTTGAAATAATCAGGAAATGAATGCTATGGTTGATACTGCCTCACTTTTATTTGTAAAGTGAGAAAATAACTGTACCTATGCCATAAGGTTGTTGGGAAGATGGAGTGAGAAAATGCACCTTAAGCTTATAACATTGTGATAAGTGCTTGTGTTTTTCTTTTTCTTTTTTTCTTACCATTACCGTATTTGTCCCTGATGTGATTTCTTCCTGTACATCTATTCTTTGAATTCAAAGTTGTTTGTCTCTGTCCACCTTTTCTCCTACCTAAGTGCATGCCATCACACCATGGAAGATTCAGTGTATGTGGACATTGTCATGATTCCCCTGAGACCCCAGAACTCTTTCAGTTCTGAACTAAAGGTCAACAAAAAATATCACTTTAAGGTGGATCATGATGAAAATGAGCACCAATTATCTTTAAGAATGTCAGTTAAAGGGCGGGTACAGAGGATGAATTACACATTGTCAAAGCAGGGGCAATGGATTATGAAGGCATCCAATCCAAGTAACATTGGCAACTTGGACAAGGTTTGTACAGCTAAGGCTTCCCTTGGACTCATGTGGTCTTACGGTTGAAGTGTAGTTCACAGCCTGTGCCTATTAATGACAAACAACACTGAGTAGTCCTCAGGAAGCTGCAGAGAGAGAAGGTGAAGAGGAGGAGGAATATAAAACTCTTGTGCATATCTGGAAAGCAATCTAACCCTGTAAATGGTAGCAAGTTTCTACAGAAAAAAAATAAAACTTACTACAGATGAAGAAGGTGGTGGTAGTGGTGGAGTAATTTTGATGAAGAGGGAAATTGAAGACCCATCTCTGTTGAAGAAATCTACATGAGATACTCCCACCAAAAATGCACAGAAATCAAATCAGAGTACAAAAAACTCAAAGCCATTCACACAAACATTAAAAAAAAAAAAACGTTATGAAACATGAAAAGGACCTAATTCTGTAGAAGACATTAAAAGCAAAATGCAACCAAGTATAGAAACAGGTGGTTCTCTTCCCAAAGTAGAAGCCACGATCACCAATGACGGAAGTTGCTTCCAGAGCAGGAGGCAACTCAAGATGTCTGCCAGTAGAGGAAGTCTCTTTCAGAAAACAGTTTAAACAGTTTGTTAAAATTTTCTTATTTCTGTAACAGTTGATATTTGGCTGCCCTTTATATTTCCAAGTGAGAACTTACCCTACCATGTTTGATAAATGTCCAGGTTCCATTGCCAAGAATGTGTTGTTTTATTTTTAAAGATGGAACTCCACCCTTTACTTAGTTTTAAGTGTATCTGGAGCGCTAGGATAGGACATAGTTGTACTAAGGTATAACCACCATAGCTGACCACCATCGTTGTGGTCAGGCATGGAAATGGCAGTGAGACAAAAATATACATGTGAAATAAACAGCATTTTAGTAAAATGAAAATGTCAACTATTATCCATATATGAAGCATTCTATTTTTATCTATTACATACCATTCTAATGTTACTCCTGAAGAAAACTGGTTGAATTACATTATTGCATTATAGATTGTTGGTTTGTAGTCAACTTTCAACTAGGGAATCAAATCATTATAAGTGCTCTTACCCTCTCTCCTTTTTATTTCTTGAAACCAGTAGTTCCTCTTTCCCTAATGCCTCCTTTCTCATTAACCTTTCTCATCACTGAAAACTTCCCAATTTTTCTTGCTGCAAGTATAGACCTCTAACTTGGGTCATGCTTGCCATTGAGTTTCCTTCAGTCTATTTTCTACAATGCACCCAGCATGATCTCTCTGAAAAGCAACAGACTCAAGTCACTTCCCTACTTAAAAACCCTCATTCGGGGCTTCCTTTGTCCTTTAGAGAAAGTCAACTGAGCACACACAATACTGTACAGTACATTCCTGAGCAATAAGAGTGATAGAGTCATTGATCGCTGGAGTCTCTGAACCTAGGGCAGAGACAGGCTCTTTTTCATGCTCACTCTAAATATGAAAGGAAGGAAGGGAGTAAAGAAAGAAAGGAAGGGCAGGCTTATGTTCACAGGACAGGGGGACTGACTTTAGTCTGTCAACCTTTCTTTACAAAATTCTCCTCTCTAAATAATACTGAACCCTTGAGGCAGTAAAACAGGTGGTTGGCAGGCTGTCTCTGTTTCCTGAAAAGATTTCTTCTGTACTACATTCATTGGGTAATTTCATCTTATCCTTTATCAGTTTACTCTGAGTTGTTTATGGTCCTAGTGTTCTAAAGAATAGCAACAACAAGTTGTCTCACTTTTCTCTGAATTAATTCTTCACTGAGGCTCTATTTGGCTAATGACCTTACAAATCACTCAGTTGCTCAAGTTCCATACCTGACGTTCATCTCAGCTGTGTTACAGGAGCCTTTGTAACACTGGATAGGTTGCTTAAAGCACTGATCCCTGGTTTGTTCCTGTTTCAGATAAAAGGTAAATGTCTACCTTCATGGGATTCTTATAGAAAATTAAATAACATTGCTTTGGTTATCTATTGCTGCATAACAAACTTCCTCAGAACACAGTGGTTTAGAACAGTGATTATTTACCATGTAGTTTAATCAGGTGGTTATTATTAGCAGGAGTCTCAGGATGGCTTGATAATGATGGCTATCAGTCAGGAGCCTCCATTCTTCTCCACATGGCTGGCTAATGCATTTGTTTTGTTTCTTCCTAGTGTAGCACCTAGTTTCTTTTTCTTTTTTTTAAAATATTTTACTTTTCAATTGTAGTTGGACACAATACTTTTATTTTATTTATTTATTTTTATGTGGTGCTGAGGATCGAACCCAGGGCCTCGCATGTGCTAGGCGAGCGCTCTACCTCTGAGCCACAACCCCAGCCCGTACCACCTAGTGTCCAAGGAGCAGAGACCAGGGCTGTAGATCTCTTAAAGCCTAGTCTTGGAAGCTTTTAATACCATTTCTACCACAGGTCATTGCTCAAAGCAGGCAACAGAGGCAGAACAGATATAAGAATAGGGAGAATAAATGTCCCCTCTTGACGGGATAATGACGAGACCACTTTGCAAAGAGTCCTAAGGAATTGAAAGTATTATTGTTATGGCCATTTTGGAATCATAATCTATTATTATGAAACTGTATTTAAAGCTGTGTCCAAAGCACCTGCCACATGGGCCTTGCTTAAGCAAAGAAAACTACTATCCTTGACTTCTCCCCCTTTCATTTATCTAGTTTCACTGTCAGTTATGCCACATAATGTTCCCTGTGTTGATGCCTTTTATTCCATCACATTTCTTCTGGGTTTATATTGTCTCCAGGACTATTTAAAGAGTTATATAACTGACTTCAAATTTGACCTCCTTCATTTTATATTTTGTCTTGTACTAATTTTTTTCACCTATTTGACTTTTGCCTCAATATGTTATATGCTACTTGAGGGTAGGAAACATATTTAACCAATGTTTTGGACCTTGTATTACCCAGCATAGTTCTTGCATAGTAGGTGTAACTTCATAATTAAACACATTCCAAAGTGGATTTATTATGGTAATTATATTTATTATTATTTATCATGTGTCATGCATGTCCTACATGTTTTGCAATTACTAGTTTATTTGATTCTCATAGTGGTTCTATTAGAGGATTATTATTACAATCCTCATAAAGGAAAATTAAGGGACAGAGATGTTAAGAAATTTTCTCGAGGTCTCACAACTAACAGTAGGTAAGGACAGATGAGGATTATCTAGAACAAAGTGTTTTAATGGTTATGCGCATTTATGCACTGTAAATTCCTACTTCTATGGGTAAATGGGCTTGGTTTCATGCATAGATCAATGTTTCCTTGTGAAAATAATCTCATAGACACGTAGAATTAAAGAAATGTCAAGAGAGTTCAGTTTTGCAGAAACTATAGTCTGGAAGGTAAAGCAAATTGTTCCAATTTCACAACTAGCCAAGCAAAGATGAGGATCCAAGCCTTCTGACTACAGATTGAGCCAGAGTAAAGATCCAAGCCTTCTGATTCCAGATGATGTTCTCTTTTCACCATTTCACAACTCTCTTCTGATGTAACATACAGATAAATTACTGACATTTTAAACACTTACTTTATGCCAAGTGCGGTTTTAAATAGTTTGTATATATATGAACAATTTTATCCTCACATTAACTTATTATTTTGGTAAGAAACTAAAGAAAGACAAGTTCAGTGACTTATTCAATGTCAATCAGATAGTAAGTAGGGAACCAGTTTTAAAATCCAGCCAAAGCCACTGTGTATAACCTTGACTACCACAGCTACTTTCCAAATAGATAGCCCAGAATGAAAGGGTATCATGTCTAGAATCAACACCAAATATTGAAAAAAGATGACATTTCCAAAATGGTAAAGTTAAATAGTCAAATTATTCTTTTGGAGTAACGATAGACAAAAAGAAACTTAGAACAAAGTGATGTGCTTTTGAAACAAACAAACAAAATGCTTAAATAATGATATGGAGTACATGCAAAGAAATACTGAGTTTTGTAAATAAGAGAAGGGTTTTGAAGATATGTATACACGTCTGGATCATTACGGAGGTTGCAAGACACTGACAGTATTACAAGGCTCAGTTGGGAATATGTACAATATCTGCAGGAAACTGATTATAGAGCTAGAAATTTTTTGAAGGGAAGCATTTGGTCCTTG